TTTTTTGACAATTTTGTTCCTTGAAACTTTCTCTTTCCAAAGAACTGTGACACCAATTCTCTTCTTGGTTGACCTTCTTATTCTACCTAGCTTCTACTTCTCTGGATCTTTCTTGGACTCTTAATATTCGCTAGGATTCAACTCTGTTTTCTTTTCTCCTCATACTTGCTTCCTGGGAAGTATCACCAGTTTTTATAGTTTTAAAGATCAGATCTGTTGATACCACAAATCTGTACCTCCACTGCAGATCACTTTTCAGGCTGTTGGTCTGTGCAAGCAACTGCCTTTTGTGTTCTTTGCTTGGTAGTTTCATTCACCTCAAATTTAACCTGTAACAAACTTGAATTTATCATCATTCTCCATTCCTCTTAAACCTATCTGTGCTCGTTTTCCTCCTGTTGACTCTGCTTTGGGTGTGAGCATCTTCATCTACACTGGCCAGTGATCTTAGACCACTCATTCACAGCTCCGTTCTCATCCAGTCAGCAACCATGTTCTGCTGATTCTTCTTCCAATTTTTTCTCATGTTCATTCTCTCCTTTCGGCACTGGTCTCCCTGCTTCGATCTTCTTCCTCTCAATCCATTCTATAATGGCATATAACATCTCCATTTACATTATATGCTACAATGACTCTGCAAAACTTCAAGAAAAAAAAAATATTCAAGCTTCCTTTCATGGTATACAAGGCTTTACTTTCTCTCCCTCACTCTCTGAAGGTTCCCATGCTATATAGCAGTTCATTAAATGCATCACAGTCTTACCTTGATGTGTTTGCCATGGTGTTTTTAGTGCTTGGAACATGTTTTCCTCTCTTTGGGAGGAGAGAGGTGCAGATAACACCAACTCAATTATCAAGACTTGGCTCAGGTGTCCCCCCTTCTCATGGCTTTTTCTGAGCCTCATAGCACCTTGAGCTTGCCTCTGTCATGACTCAAATAACAAAATCTCACCATTTGTCTTTTGCTTGTCTGTATTTACTCAAAACTACTTAAGAGGGTAGGAAGCATGTCTTTCTCTATTTCTCTGGTTGCTAATACAGTGTCAAACATGTAGCAGACACTCAGTAAATGTGTAATAAGTGGTAGAGGAATAAGGAGGCATTTGTTAATATTTAGATCTAAAAGAATTAATACTAATATTGTACCTATATTCCTATTTCAGATAAAGGTAAGGAGTGATTTTCTTCGCACTGTTTATTAGTTGATCAAAGTGTTATAACTTCAACCCATGGAAGCAGCATCTTCTAGCAGTTGTCATCCAAGCTGTCCAAGGCCAGAAGTTAGTTATTAGTATTGCAAACTTCCCAATTCTCCACTTTCTCTCACTTTTTTTTTTCCCCATGTAACTTTTACCCACATGCATATACCAAATTTTATGGAAATAGGTTAGAAAACATGTAAGTTGTGATCATTTAATGATTTGCTTTGAAATAAAATGGCTTACTGAGCCACAGGTAGACTAGTTACAGGTCTAAGTTGATAGCCTTGTAAGTCATGTACCAAACTTGGGTAAAATCAGTCAACTCCTTTAAAATTTGTATGAGACCAATAGACTCATTTCAAGTGTTAAGCAGTTAAGTTAAAATATTCCTCCTCCCCCCACCTAGGAAGAATGATTTTAGCACATTTATCCCTTTACCATTAGTGTTGTCTATGTTCTTATGATTGAATAAATGTAAATGATACTAAAACTTGCTCTATTAAATGAAAGTGCTATCTAGTGATTTTAAAATCCCACTTCTTTGGAGCACTAAATAAATTTGGCATCATTAGCCCTATGAGGATCAGCATGCTTACCGGTAATAATTAGGTACTTATTTTGAAAATGTCATCCCATTTTATTCTCTCTCGCTTTTTCTAAGCCTCATCATTATGCAGGCAACATTTCATCAGGGGAAGCTTACTTTAGGAAGAATATGCTAATTACACCAGAAATCCTTTTCCAACAGATCGTTTTTGAAGAGGGTATTATATTTACTTATTATTCACTTCTTCTGCTACACAAACTATAGACATTCCTTAATTTTGCAAAGAACAGTAGAGAAGTGTTTCAAAGATAATACTACAGTCTGGAACAATATAAGATACATTCTGACAGGAAAGTAAATACTATCAGCAGATCAACTGTAATACGTATGGAGTCATTATTCAAAGAAAGGAAATCCTTGAATCAAAATCGACAGCCATTCACTCCTACAAACATTTCTTATCTACTCTCTGAATTCCTAGAATGAGTAAGAAAATGAATATTGGGCCTGCTTTAAAGAAAATTAATTTCTGATAAGAAAGATAGCTACATATTCCACTAGGAGATGAGAGAGAAGTTAATAATTGTCTGAACATTCATTCAACAATTTACTGACCATCTTTAGAGACTGATTCTGGGCTAGGTGTACACACTGTCTCATTTAATTGTCACAATAGATTTATAGGAGGGGTACTTATATTTTCATCCTAAAGATGAAAAAACTGTGCTCATGATAGGGTAAATTTATTATTATTATTTTTAAGCAACACTGTTAGCTAATTTCAGAGACGAAATTTGGTCCTGATCTGTTTGCTTCTGCTACATCATAATTAGCCTATTCATTATTTAGCTAAAATATGACTAACGTATATGGAGCAGAGAATGGAATGGTTTATTTTCTTCAGGTCAGTTCCTAAACAATAACTGCGAGGATTAAGTATCAAAAGCAGTGACTATACTGGTGCTGAGCATCCATTTCCATGGAGCCTTATGATTGGTAAGTTTAGCAATTGGTAAATTTAGATTGTGGGTGGGATTATCTCATGTGTAAATAAATCCCATTGTCATTTCCAATTATATTCTTTCTGTCTATAGAGGAAGTTAGTGATCTTTGGTTCAAAATTACATCCTCTGTTTATGTAGCACCATTTTTAGAAGAAAGATTGGAAATAAATGTAGAAAATGTATAAACCTTCCTGATTCACTCACTTTTGGCTTTTAGCACCTCAGTGGGAATCATCTATTGTCTTTCACTTGTATATTTTCCTTTAAGACCTTCAGGAATTGATCTTTCCATCATCCAGCCCAGGTGCACTACCTGGCAACTTTAGGTGTTTAATAAATTTTTGCTGAATAAATGAATGGATAACTTGGTGGTACACACAAAAAGGAGCACTGATAACGAAATGCAGTGAGACTTTCAGGTTCAATACTCTATTTGTATCATCCTCTTACCAAAATGTAGTAAAATTTAAAGGCTAAAACAACCTCCGAACCCACTGTCTGCTGTTGAGTTGATTCTGACTCATAGTGACTGTGCAAGACAGAGTAGAACTGCCCCCATGGACTTTCCAAGGCTGTAAATCTTTATGTAAGGAAACTGCCTCATCTTTCTCTCATGGAGCAAGTGGTCAATTCAAACTCCCGACCTTTTGGTTAGCAGCTGAATGCTTTAACCACTATGCCACCAGAGCTCCTTAAAACAACCTATTCTGCATTAAAGAAACCATTAAACTTCTTTTGAACAAACAAAGCAATTAGTTTCTGCTCAGTATTTGTATCTCGTGATATTGCATTTTAAACAGAGCCCATTGAGTGTGTTTTTATTGGTTATTTTTCTTGCTTTCAACACTCCATTGTACACAAAGGCCTTTTAGAAAATTGAAAATAAAAGTCTCCCCTTACTGATTTTGTCATTTTCCATTTGTCAAACATTGATTTTCTTCCCCCTTGTGCATCTAATGGAGGTTGAAATTAGTGCTCTTTTTTTTTGTTGTTGTTGTTTACTTCTTATTTGTACACCATCATCATCATTCATCAAGCTGCCAGTAAGCTCTGGGGATAGTGCTGGTGAGTTAACTAATGCTCGGAAATCCACACAGGAATTTTTTGAATAGATTTTTACCTCAGCTTTGACTCTTGCCTTTAAAATTTCTTTCTAAGAAAGATTTCAAATATAGGGAGCTCTTCCCAGCAAATACATGTTTAAAAGAAAAAAATAATGCAAACTACTGATTTTTAGCCTTTGGATAAATTAAAAATACTCAAAAGAAAATATTCAGGAGATTATGGAACCTAACTTTCTGTCATGAAATGAATTGGGTCCCTCCAAAATATATGTCAACTTGGCTGAGTCACAATTCCCGGTTGTTTGGCAGTTGTGTAATGATGTAATTTTGCAGTTACGCAATGATCCTCCAGGATGTGATCTGATGTGAGAAGCCAATCAGTTGTAAGGGGATTAGGGTGGGATGCAACACCCATAATCAGATCACAGCCCAGGTCCAAGATCAGTGGCATTTCCCTGGCTGTGAGACCTGCATCACCTTTTATCTTATAAGAGATAAAAGGAGAGAGAAGTGAGCAGGGAAGGGGGGACCTACAACTACTAAGAAAAAAGAGCCAGGAGTAAAACATGTCCTCTGGACCCAGGGTGCCTGCACTGGGAACCTCCTAGACCCAGGCAAAGATTGATGTCAAGACACAGGTAGATCTCCAAGGAATGATGGGCATACAGGTGTTGAAAGGAGACAATAACCTTCCTCCAGAGTTGACAAAAAAAGAAAACCTTACCCTAGCTGGGGCTGGTGCTTTGAATTTGGAGTTCTAGCTTCTTAAACTGTGAGATAATAAATTTCTGTTTGTTAAAGTCATTCACTTGCAGTATTTCTGTTACAGCGGCACTCTAAAAACTAAGACATTTTCTTATCCACAAATATACATAAACCTAAGGTGCCAAAAGGAGCTCTGGTGGTGCAGTGCCTAAGGCATTTGATTGCTAACTGGAAGGCTGGAGGTTCAAACCCAACTACCACTCCTAGGAAGGAAGGTTGGGCAATCTACTTCCATAGTGATAATGCCTCGGAAACCCAAGGAGGGGTAGCTATGAGTAGGATCTGACTCGATGGCAGTGAGTTTGGTTTTGTTTTTTGGTAAGGTGCCAAAGACACAGTCATGCTGCTCTTCCTACATGTTCTGTGCAGCCCCTGCTGGGTGTTGTAAGAATGATGTCATAACGGACAGCTATTGGAAAGGAAACATCCATCTAGTTGGCTGGGGAAAGGGCAGAGGGGTACAGGCTATAGTTGGGTATTGTGAAAATATATTCTTTTGTTCCTGTCTTTGAAGGATTGGATTAGCTATGAAATTCCCTTGACACAGAGAGTAAATGCAGAAGGTAATTTTTCTGAAGAGCAAGAATGCTAGTAGTTTTAGAGGTAGGCCATTGCATTTAATCATGAGAAATGTGATGAATCTGGAAAGTGGAGAATGAAAAAATGAGAGACAAACTGATATCATATAATTAAAAAACCAAATCACATCATGATGTTCTATGTGTTTGTGATTTGTGTATAGCTGCAGATTGGGTGACTTCCTCTATATAGTCTGATGGAGGTCTTGATGGTTTATTGTTCTCTCATTCTTTTACAGTATTATCCAATAGTACTTTCCACAATAATTGAAATCTTCCACCCTGTCCAACATAGTGGCCATAAGTCATGTGTAATTATTGAACACTGGAAATATGGATGGTGTTGCTGAGAGACTTCAGGTATTTTTAATGTTATTTAATTTTAATTAATTAAAACTGAAATACAAAGAGACACGTGGCTAGTTGTCACCATCTTGGACAGTGCAGAGTTTACACTGACTAAAAGATTTATGACACTTTTTCTTTTCTTTTTAAGAAAAGCTAGGTTTTGCCAAAGTTTTCAAGTCTAAAATTTTGGACTTGATTTCTAGACTATGTGTAGGCATAGTGCTTGGTGCTGATGATACAATGACAAACAAGATAGTCTGTGCCCTACAAGGCTTCCAGCCTAGTGCTTTCTCACAACATCAGGATGTCACTTGAGAAAACTGAATAGTGCCTAATGAATGAAATAAGTCAACAGGTATCATTCTTATACCAGTTAATTTATTTACAGCCTTATTGAAAAAATATTGAGGTGAAATGCAGACTGTAATGTGTAAGGAGACAACTGCTTCATAGACTGAGGTGTGATTATTGCCAAATTATGCGTTCAATTCTTTCTTCTTTTTTATTTTGATAAAATACATATTGTATATGTATGGTTTTAATATTTCAGACTTGTCATTATCTCTGTATCCTGAAGTATTATCAAATTCAGAAACACTCACCATCTGAACCAGCATAGTGTAGTTGTTACGAGCACGGGTTTTAGAGTAAGACAGACCTAGGTTTGACTCCTGATTCTGCTACATTTCTAGCTCTGTGCCTTGGCAAATCACCTCCCCTTCCCTCTCCAAACTTCAATTTCCTCATCTGTAAGTTGGGACTAATAAGAATACATTCCTCATGTTGCTGTTGTTAGTTACCATCTAGCCATGGCAACCCCACTCGTGCAGAGTAGAACTACTCCATAGGATTTTCAAGGTTGTGACTTCCTTCCGGAAGCAGATCATTAGACCTGTCTTCTGACACATTTCTGGGTGTGGTTGAATTGCCAACTTTTCAGCTAGTAGTCCAGCACTTAATGATTTGCACCACCCAGGGACTCAATATTCCTCAGTTACTTACAGTGTGGTTAGAAGGATTATGTGAGACACTATAAGTAAATTAACTGGTGTAAGAATGGTACCTGTTGCCATCTAGTTGATTCTGACTTATTGCGATCCTGTAGAACAGAGAATTGTCCCATAAAGTTTCCATGGCTGTAGATCTTTAAGGAAGCAGACTGGCACATTTTTCTCCTGTGGAGTGGCTGGTGGGTTTGAACAACTGACCTCTCAGCAGCCTGGTGCTTAATCACTGTGCCACCAGGGCTCCATAAGAATGATAACTAACATTTAAAACACATTTACTATGCTTCAATTACAAGGACTTCACATGAGTCAATTCATTTAATTAACATTATGAGGAAGGCACTATCATTCCCATTTTAAAGATTAGGAAATTAGAGCACAAGGAGAGGCATGGTCCTCAGTACATAATGAGCACACAGTGTTAATATTGTTGTTCCTATTAGTATTATGGACTATTTCCTCTGGCTAAAGAACCACATATGCAAAGACAGCCAGTGAAACATTAAGCAAAAAAATTTTTTTAGTATATTTTTGTAGTTCAACCTGCTATTATTAATTTGACAATTTCTACTTCTCCCAAGTCCTACTTACTATTATTTCTCCTCCTCTTGTAAACTGGAGTCTGGGTTGGATTAATAGCATATCACAAAGGTAGATGATATCACATACGATGTCTGTTATAAACCAGTAGTGCATGTTGTCTGGTGTTTGATATGGAAAGACTAGACGCAGTGGAATAAACCAGCAATTCCAGTTGTAGGCAATGGTGACGAGCAGGAGCCACAGGAGGTAGAACCGATCTGAAAAAACAGCAACTGGAGTCATCTAAGTGCCAGGTAACAAACATTAAAATAATTCTCTTGCTTAGTTTGATAAAGTTGGGGCTATACCTTCTGGAAATAAGCAAATTGGTACAAGATGTTCTATTAAATGCTCAGCACACTTTTGGCATTGGGCTCTAAAAGGGTTGGTAATTGATCTTCTCTACTCCTCTAACACTGACCAGCATCCTTTCTGACTCCTAAAAGTGGCCACTTTTTGTCTATTCCCAAAGGTCACTGCACTATTTAAATCAGGGAAGGGTAAACACAAGAAAAGTCAGAGGCAAACTACTCAGGCATAATTGCTGCAATCTGTCTCTTGCTCATCAGTAGTTAAGCGGCAGGCTCTCCCAGAGCAGGTGGGAGAAGGGTCACGTCTTGCCTGAAGGGAAGAGTGCCAGGGAAAAGGCGCTGAAGTGGGAAGAGCAGAAAATAACAGAGTGCCTGCCCCTTCACTCACTGCCTTCCTCTGCCCAAGGGAGGATGTAGGAGGGGATTTGTTCAATTAGAATAATTAACAATGTGAATCCATGGAAGAAGACAGCACACACACACACACACACACACACACACACACACGTGGTGTCAGTGTACCTATTGCTGAGTGCTTTGATGCCCTCTTTTCAAAGGTAATTAATGGTAGGGCAGGTCTTGGGCTGCTTTTTAAAAACAGACAGTAGTAGTTTATCTTTTATTCTCACCAGAGAGGGGCAAATGATCCTTTATATATTACACAGCTTAAATTCTGCTTTCTAGACAGAATTACAATGTGGGCTAGGCAAGTAGAAGCCACCTGTGACTCTGATTCTTGATGTCAGCCAGTTCTCCCTCTGGGATAGTCCACTCTTTGATGTTACCTGTGTATGAATCTATGCTTCTTGAAAGTCTAATTTGCTTTAGATAATCTGTCAGAGGCAACTTCCGGAATTTACAACACAACATGCCATAGTAATCATCTTCTTGTAGTTTGGCTTCACTTCTCTGTGTTGATGACATAGCTGTGGGCTTTGCTTCATGCGAAAGAAAAGATGAAAAGCTTTTTAAGAGGTTAGATATCATTGATTATGCATTATTTTTAATTACACAATCTACTCAGTATTTTACCAAAGTTATGTGGTTAATGCTGAGTTGGAAGCTTTCACTGACTATGCAGAGGGTCATGCCTGCAAACTTCACTCTTAGGAGCAAGACTTTCTTGTGTTCTTCTCTAAAATATATTTAAAATCCCCAAAATAACTTTCAAAGCTTCTATTCCCTAATAAAACCATAGTTGAAAGAGGGAACAAACTCATTTATAATGTGCAATCAAACTGTCTCTCTCTATTCTGTTGATCTAGTTTCACCCTATTTTATTAAGTTCAGTCCTATCCCAGTATATTACCATTGTAGAAGGATCAAGTTAGTTTAAGGAGCAGAAAGCTTTGATTTCTTCAAGTCAGAGCATTTGAGATATTTCTGCTTTCAATATAGGCACACGAGACAAATTTTCATGACACTTAAAATAGTTTCTGAAAATATTCTGAAGACACTGGAATTTGGAAATATACATCAGGTTTAAAGCTCACATTATTAATAAAGTGTCACAAAAGAGTTACAAATGGAATATTTGTAAATAGAAACTTGATTCTCACATCTTTTGGAACATAAATGAAGTCACTGCATAGGATTTACACTGAACAGAAACATTACGAATGTATACCATTCCATAGGTTTTAGTTTCTTGCTTTAACCTCATACATAATCTTTAAGTTATGGGTAAATAAAGCTTACAATTTTTCTTTCCAGTACATCTTTATCAAACTATAATGACTCTCTATGATTTATTTTGGCTACTTTTTCCAAAGAAACTTTTACGATGCAGTTTATTTTGCAGATCCAACTTCCTATACATAGCATTATAAGTAAATTTTCAACCCCATTCCATGTAAATAAAAATTTGAGTTTTCTTTATTATTAAACAATCAAACTTTCTTCTATGTTTTCTATTCATATATATATATTTTACATAAATATAATCAGTATACATTGCTCTCATGCTCTGGTTTTGTACTTATTTCATAAATGCACTTCTGTAATTATTAACAGAGTTAACAATGGTTATTCCTCTTATGTGAGTAGTTTTGCTGCCTTTGCTCAATTGTATACTTAGGTAGTATCCCTGTATTTTTATAAAGCTTAAGCTCTTTATGTAGTGGATCAGTGACAACAAAGGAAATCCTCAATAGATGCAATGGTGGATTCAAACTTACCAACAATCATTAAGATGGCATAAGACTGCCAACGTTTAGTTGTTATGCATAAGGTCAATATGTAGTTGGAGATGACTTAAGAGCAAGTAACAACAACCAGCTATATATTATGAATATTCTTAATTAATATTTTGCAATGAAACTTGCTATAGCAGATACTGAAAGACCCTGGGTCAACCCAAAGATGCTGCAGAGGGGTCCCTGCGACTCTCTGTTAAAAGTTTTTTTTTTTTTTTTTTTCTAATTGTCCAGTGTGCCTGAACTTCTGGGAGGTTAACAACACCCCAGCAGCAGCCGTCAACCAGTGAGAGACATGAGTTGGTGGATCGATATCCCTGCTTCTTCCACTTTCTTTAAGATAATTCTTATCTGTGATCCACATAGTTTTTCAGTGGGATCAAGCTTCGGTTGCCCACAGCATTAACCCTCTCATAACACACTCTTTATTGGCTTAATTTCCTTCTCTGTCTTTCCCACTTTCACTGTCCTTCCTGGATTACTCTAAAAATAAGCTAAATGAAGTTGCCATGGAGTTGACTCTAACTCATGGTGACCCATGTGCTACAGAGTAGAAGTGTGTTCCATAGGGATTTCTTAAGTGTAATTTTATTTTTTTCTTTTAATATTGTACATTGGGTGCAAATTTACAAAGCGATTTTGATTTACTTTCAACAGTTCATGTGCATTTGTATTCACAGCTCCAATTACTATTCCCAACCATAAAATTATCTCTTCCCCTCCTTTCCCTGGGACTACCCCTCCCAGTGCCCTTCTTAACTATGCATTCCTGTCTGTTCAGCTTTCCCTCTATGTTAATGCTGCCCCTCTGGTGTCTCATGTTACTTGATCTAAGGGGTGCATTTCCCTAGAGTAGGTGGGTGCATTGCCCTGGGGTAGGTGTTCTGCATGTAGGTCTTTCTACTGTTGGGCTGAGAGCCATTCCATGGAAGTGAGTTCATTTCTAGGCCCAAAGGGTAACTGGAACCATAGTCTTGGGGGTTCCACCAGTTTCTATCCAACCAATAATTCTGGTCATTTTTGTATTTTTGAATTTTGTTCCACGTTTTTCCTCTCACTCTATCCAGGATTTCCAGTTTTGATCCTTTTCCGAGTGTTTTGCATTGGTAACTGGGCACCATCTAGTTCTTCTGGTCTTGGGGTCATGAAGGATGAGGTCCTGGTGGTCCATTTTACCTTGGACTAATTGTTTCCAGAAGCCTTTGATTTTCTTCACTCTTCTTTGCTCCAGATGAGAAGAAGCCAATAGTTGCATCTTAGATGGCTGCTCAAAAGCTAAGACCCCAGACACTAGTCACCAAAATAAGTAGTAGAATAAGATTTTTATGTATTATGTTGTACCAATTGAGCATGCTGTCCCCTGAGATTATGATCCTAAGCCTGCAGGCCCAGTAATTCTCTCTCTCAAGGTGTTTGATTGTCTCTGAGAAGGTATTCCTACTCTGTCTTCTGTTGCTTCTGTAATGTGTGTGGCTAGTTTTGTAGCACAAGTGCATATGTAAGATCATCTTCAGCCAAATCTACTTGGTCTGGGGTACATTCCTGTCAGCTGATCCCCACCTGATCTTCTCACCAGTCCATGCATTTATCCATAGCCTGGTGTTTGGTTTAGCAGTAATATTAATGGTGACAGATTAACAGGACTTTTTTTTTGCAGCACTTCTGGGTGGGTTGGAATGAATCTTTCAGTTAGCTGCCCAGTGCAATTTTTGCCCCCACGGACCTCAAAATAAATTATTTGTGCTGGGGAAACCTTGTTGTTGTTGTTATGTGCCGTCGAGTCGGCCCCGACTCATCGTGACCCCTCCTTGGGTTTCCGAGGCAGTATCACTACGGAAGTAGGATTGCCCAACCTTCCTTCTGAGGAGTGGCTGGTGGGTTTGAACCGCCAGCCTTCTGGTTAGCAGTCAAGTGCTTTAGCCACTATGCTACCAGAGCTCCTAGTTAGGGTAATTTTAAAGTAAAAATCCTCTCATAACTCTGTTCTTTCTGATACTTTGAAGTACAGTGCTTACCAAGTTGAGGGCTGCCTTCAGGTGAGGATACATCTTCCTCTGCCAACTTTTTCTTATAGAGGGCTGTTCTCTGACGCATTCTGTTCACCAGGTTGTGTAGGTGGGCATCAGCATACTCATTTATAACAGGAGTTCTGGATGGTTTGCTTTTTGGACTAAATGAGAAAGAAAAAATTCACAGAGATGGGTTATGAAGAGATACATAAAGGAGAGGGATTAAGTTTTTTAATTTTCCTAATAAACTCAAGGTTATTAACTGCCCTTTAATATGATTGAATAGAACAATTTATACATTAAGTTTGATGGAAATAGTGCTGGTGGAATATAAATTTGACATTGGAGAATGAGCAACTGACCATTCTTGACCATATTGGATCTTGGTGTCTATCGTTCTGCCATTGAATTGTATCACTAGAAGAAAAAAAGCTATAGTTAATGTTGTAGGCAGCCTTCTAATGGCTCCCCAGATTTCTTGCCTATTGTTATACATGTCCTGCATTATCCTGGGGACCTTGAGTAGGATGGATTTTACTCTCATATAATTGTTAGCTGCTGTTGAATTGCCCTGACTCACAATGAGTCTATCTACAACAGAATGAAACACTGCTCAGTCCTGCGCCACCCCCATGATCAGTTGAGGATTGGACTGTTAGGATCAATAGAGTTTTCATGGGCTGATTTTCAGAAGTAGATTGCCAGCTCCTTCTTCCTAGTCTGTCTTAATCTGCAAGTCCTGTTGAAACCTGTTCATAACAACACTCAAGTCTCCATTGAAAGACAGGTGGTAGCTGTGCATGAAGTGCCCTGACTGGGGACTAAATCTGGATCTCACACATGAAAGGCAGGGATTCTACCACTGAACCACCACTATCCTCTGCTCCCATGATTTGTTTTGTTATGTGGCACTGTTGAGATGAGATTTTCCAGGCTGGCCTGAGCTAACCACACAAGCTTTTTAGAAGCAGAAATTGGCTCTAGCTTCTGACAGAGGAGTTGTTGTTTTATTTGTCATCTAGTCAGAGAAGAGTGTCAGAGATTTGAAGCACAAGATGGTTTGACTTGAGAGATATTCTCTATTGCCATCTTCAAACAAGAAGGTGGCCATGTGATAGGAACTGCAGGAAACCTCTAGGAGCTGAGAGTAATCCTCAACTGACAACCAGCAAAGAAACAGGGACTTCAGTGCTACAATCACAAGGAACTGAATTCTGCCAGTAATTTGAATAGCTTGGTAGTGGTTTCTTCCCCAGAGCCTTCAGATAAGAACCCAGCCTTGTTGACACCTTGATTATGGCCTTTTGAGACCTTAAGCAGAGAACTCAGTTAAGCCCACACAGGCTTAGATCTACAAAACTGTGAGTTAATTAATGAACGCTTTCTTAAGCTGCCAAATTTGTGGTGATTTGTTGCACAGCAATAGAAAATGAATAAAACTTGTGTGCTTTAACAGATTGCCTTTTTAGAAAATTTGGAAGCAGACTTGTGCAGAGTATAGTATGAACACTAGCATACTTCCTAAAGTTCTCAGTTTCCTCACAGGTTTTCCTCATAGATCTCACTCTCTGCCTTCTCTCTGAGACTGGACATGGTACACACAGGCCCATATAGCCTCTATCTCTTTCATCTCCTCACATTCATAGTTGCCCTTTCCATCTCACTTCCAAACTAGAGTCCATGAATTTTACATTGGAGCTGGGTAAACTGTGGATACCATTTAAAGGAAACCCCGTATAAGCCCCCTTCCATCCCCCCCCACATGACTATATCCATCTATAATTGTTTACAGATCCCCTGACCATTGTTGTCTTTTCCTCTTCCCTTCTTGTAATTATTGTAAACTTTATACCTCATTTAAAGGTCAAAGGTCCTTCCTTAGCATGAAGATTCTTCAGATGTGTCACACTAAGACCTTTACAAGCCTGCTTAAGAATGGTGAAGACTGAGCTTCAGAAAAAAATCTAATATATCTTAAACAACACAGCAATAGGTAGACACTACTAGCTCCACAACATCAGGAAAACTTTTTGTGATTAAGAAATGGTGCCATATATATCATTTCTCTGGTTACTTCCTAAAATCTTAGTATGTCTACTATATGCATCCATCAAACATTTATTAAGTTTCTACTTTAGGCACTGAGAGTGTAAAGACAAGTTAGAGACTAGCCCTATGAATGTTCATAATTTAATGGAGGAAGGAAAGATTTAAATAAATAACCAATAAAAATCAATAAAGATATGCACAAAGGGCTATATCCAGAGTGATCTCAGCCTAGGATACCAAGTAGGGGCTTCAAAGAAGAAGTACTTGAAGTCTTAAAGATTTGGCAGACATTTTTGTTGTTGTTGTTGCTTTTTATAATTTATTTTAAATTTTTAAAATTGTGATTTGAGTGAAAATTTACAGAGCAAAATCATTTTCCACCTTTTGTCTCATGACATTGCCTGCAGTTCCCCACAATGTAATAGCTCTCTTCCCACTTCTTCCCGATAGTTACCTCTTCCCTGTGTCCTTCCCTCCTGTGCACTCCTGCCCCCTGAGCTGTCTCCCTGTGCAAACACTGCCCTTCTGTTCTCCCATGACTGATTGCTCCAAGTAGTGTATCTACCCGATGTAAATGTTCACCCAATATGCCTGTCTATTGTTTGGCTGGAAGCCACAGGAGTGAGTTCAATCCCAGACCTGAGTGGTGGCTAGGGGCCATGGTCTTAGGGGTCTCACCAGAATCTATCAGACCAGCAAACCTGGTCTTGTTTTTATGATTTTGAGTTTTGTTCCACATTATTCTCCCCCTCTGTCTAAGATCTCCTGTACTGATCCCCCTTTGAGTGGTTGACAGTAGCAGGACACCATCTAGTTTTCTGGTCTCATGGTCATATAGGCTGAGGTTTGTACGGTCTACCAGTCCTTTGGACTAATTGTTTCCATGCATTTTTTTTTATTTTCTTCATTCTTCTTTGCTCTGGATGAGGAGAGACCCATCATTGCATCTAGATAGCCACTTGCAAACTTTTAAGATCCTAGTCTCTACCACCAAAGTAGGATGTAGAACAATGTTTTTGTGTAGTATGTTATGCCAACTGAGCTTGATATCCTCTGTTATTATGGTCCTGAGCCCACAGGTCCAACTACTCACTTCCTCAGGGTAGCTGGCTGTGACCAAGAAGTCAACACAACATTGATGCTTGTCAGCTCTACTGTAAACCTGAACATTTTCACAATGCATGTAAATACACATGTAGAAACATTGTCTTTTAGCAGACTTCTAACAGAAATGGAAGAAGGCTTTTTCATTTCTCAGACTTTGAGAGAAACTTTTTTCAAAGATGTGAAAAAACATGACATATTCTGGGAACAGCAAGTATTTTGGTATGACTGGAACAGGGTGTGTGTATTGAGGGTGCCAAGTAGTGGGAATGGGTCTGGATAGATGAGTGGAAACAGGTTGTGACAGTCATATATGCATTGTTTAGGCCTTTGGACACTGACCTATAGGCTAAGAGGAGCCAATACAGAATAAAAAAATGAAGGATATAAGCAGATAGATTTGTGTTTTTGAGATGTGGCAATGGTGGAAGGATGGACTGAAGAGGAGCACTGTCAAACATGGAGGCACAGAAAGAAGTTATCCTAAGAGGTTAGGTTTGAACTGATGAAAGAAATAGAGAGGGATTAAAGAAACATTTTACAGGCAGAATTCACAAGATTTGATGTCTTTTCTGTAGCTTTTGGATAAATTCAGATAAGGAATCAAAAGAAAATTCCTAAGTTCCTATCAGAAGATATTAGATTCATGAAGATGTCATTATATAAATAGGAATTCAGAGAGCAGATATTTCTACGTGGTGGGTACATGAAGAAAATTAGTTCTTTTTGTGTATGTTGAACTGAAAGTTTTTATAGGATCTTATATGAAAGGATCTTGTTTGTGATACTCAGGAGACATTCAGAAATGCAGTTCTGGTGCTAGGATATTGGTGGTCATCAACATATACAGGATATTTGAAGCAATGTATACGGATGACATCATCACAGACTGTGAAGTTCTCAAGATCAAGACCTATGTCTTATTTCTTATAAGCCTATGACAAGGTACATTTCTAATAAATGCTTATTGAATAAATGAACTCACTAGTTCTAACCTTTTGTTTGACCTTATTTGAAGTGCCTCTATGTTCTTAAAAAAATCTATAGAAAGTGAAGTTGAGGGTTGTTGGATCATTAACTGTAAAGTCAGAATATTCAAACTGTCAAAATGGGTAATTCAAGCTTTAGGGACATGTTTTTTTTTTTGTCTGTAAGCCCTAATTGACCATATAATTGCCTCTGCACCACACCAGTTTTCACTGTGCAAACCTGCCTTATGGTTAAAATGTTGGAAATCAGAGTAGAGAGCACACAACCATTTTAGATACACATGGATATATATTTATAAGTTTCCCTTACTATAACATATTGTTTTTATATTTGCTATATATTCATATGTTAGTCTATTTCATCTTCTTTTTCTTTCTCCATCTTCTTTTCAATGGTAATCCTTGCACTTCTCCCCAGCCTACATATACAGAAGCTATGAATGTATTTTTCTTTAGGTAATTTTGTGCATGAACAAGGCAAATTCAGTGGAATAAACATATATTTCATGAAATAAACAAACAAAAAATGGAGTAGTAATAGAATAGGAAGCCATAAATGTGCCTTATGTTAATATGATTCATTTGAGCTATATTTGATATTTCTAGATCTTATAACTAACCGTATGTTTTTAAAGAAACGTGAAGTAGTCAAGAATTTCATCTTACTTGGATCCACAATCAATGCCCATGGAAACAGCAATCAAGAAATAAATGATATATCACATTGGGAAAATGTCCTGCAAAAGACCTCCTTGAAATGTTATAAAGCAAAGATGTCACCTTGAGGACTAAGAAGTACCTGACCCATGCCATGGTGTTTTCAATCACCTGATGATATCCACATGAAAGCTGAACAGTGAATAAAGAAGACCAAAAAAGAATTGATGCCTTTGAATTATGATACTGGCAAATAATATTGAATGCATCATGGACTACCAGAAAAAAGAACAAATCTGTCTTGGAAGAAGTGTAGCCGGAATGCTTCTTAGAAGTGAGGTTGGTGGGACTTTGTTTCATCT